CAAATAGACTAAATATAATTCCATTCTACAAGCTGGTTTTATTTTATTATTATTATTTGTAGAAAATAGACTTTTTTCCCATCTTTTGGGCCCTACTAATTAAATTAAATAAGGATATTTATTTATTTGCATATGCTTACTGTCATATTGGTGGGTATTTAAGATAATTCAAAGAAGGCCAAATAATGCAAGTAAATACATTAAATAAATTAGAGAAAAATGTGAATTTATTTTAGTGGAGCAGATGCCAAAGATTTTGGAAACCGGGAATTGAAATGGGCATTGCAACCGAATGCTAAGTCAATATTATTGGTATATTTTAGAGAAAATATTCTATAAAATATTTTTTTTTATTTGTCATGTCTTCACAGTTGCTTGAAATAATCTATAAAACATATTATAAAAGAGAAAGAGATATATAATTAGGGTTATCAAAATATAAATCAATAACAGCATTTTTCATATTTATTGCATGATAAAAAATTTATAATAATGAGGTATGTATTATTTATCTTAACTTCAACATGCATAGATATTGGTGCAAACGAGTTGAGTCGAACTCGAGTCAGGCCTAACTCGAGCTCGACTCGCAAGCCAAATCTCGAGCTTGACTTGTACCACTGAAAACGAGCTCGTGAGCCAAATCTTGGGCTCGACTTGCACTACTGAAAACGAGCTCGCGAGATTATATTCACAAATAGACTCGTGAGCCAAATCTCGGGCTAACTTCAACATGCATATTCACAAGTGGACAGTCAAAATCCAATGATAAGATTATATATTAATAGTCAAATGATGGTAATCGGATGACAGAAGTCTAACTATGATGGTAGCAATCATTGAAGGTAGTCACCGGCTATGATTATTAAGAAAAAGCAAAAATTCTTATAGAACATTTAATCTAAAGTGATAAATTTCTCTAAATCTAAACAAAATTATCCTCTTAAATTTATATTTAAATTTTCTTTTGAATTATGCTTACTGTTTTCCACGTTGAGTTGATATCGAGCATAGTTTTAAAACACATTGTTCTCCCAATTATTGTAGTTCCAACTTGCAAAGCTCCATGCACGTCCATCATCCCAAGGACTAATTAGAAAGTTCAAAATAAAATAATAAACAAAAGAATTGCTAAAAAAATACAAATATTAGACATCAAATTCAAATTAAGATTCAGTTGATGAGATTAAATAGAAAATGGTTCACAAGCAAAAATTATGATTTATTAGAGAATAGAGCCAAGCCACCTTAGACGGTTTGATCAATTAAAACGGCGGTTTTCCGATGACTCAGTTTGGAGAGTAGATGTATTAAATTTAGCCTATGTTAAAAAAGATAGAAATATAACTGAGAAGGCTTGATGATAAAATATTAGAAATAACATTTCCTTATTAGATTTAAGGAAAAAGGATTCATTTAGTCGACTCCACGCAGTGAGTTAAATGATTTATTTTGTTGTAGTGCTGAGTCATCTTGATCTGTCGATTAGAATCTTTAACTATCAATCAAAAAGATCTTGAATTCAAATCTTACATATTTAATGTGTATTACAGTATTATTTTACCTTAATTGACATAAATGTCTCAAAAAAAATCAAATATAAATATTCCATTGCTCTCCAAAAATTAATTTTTTATGTTATAAAATTAAATTTTGTTCTCAAAATCATTCACTTTTTAATATTATTAAAAATAGTAACAAAATTTTAAAAATATTTCAATAGAATGGTACACTAAATTTTTATAATAGATGAATACAAAAGTTTGGAAATTTATAAATTACATATTCAACCTCATCATTGACCAAATAAAACTATCCAGACAAAATAATTACAAAAAATGCATTCTAAAATATATATTTGAACTTTATTTCTGGTGATTTAAAATCATAACGGTAACTTTCAAATAACTCTTCAATCGCTTGAGTTTCAATTACTTGACCATCACTACATCAAACAAGCGAAGAAAATAACTACAGAAGCTCATATCCCATAAAGGAGAAGAATGAAGATGACAACAAATATCATAGAAATGCAAGAAAATGAATGTTGTCAGAAGCTACAGAGATCAAGGCCTGTATCCTTACCATCTAAATTTCAAAAGTAAAGAACAAATATAACAAAAAAACCATACAAGGCAATCCAACCCATCTCAAAATTTACAATGGTAGAAAACTAGAAGAGGGAGGAGCCATAGTCATTCTTCTTAACCTAAAATTCCTCAGTTAAGCCTGCAACTGCCATAAATAAACGTGTATGAAACAGCTGAAAGAGCTGCTTCTATATTTTCTTAACTCTTTTCTTTTTATTTACATCCCTACGCTGAAGCATCTAGTAAGAAAGGGAAAAGGAAATAATGAACGAATCTGGGAACATCACATTTTGGACGGCTTTCTTTCTGCTTCTTAAAACAATTTTTTAGTACAAAAGTTAAATTTTTTGTACTTAAAACTTGCTTTAAGAAGTAGTAAAAAAAACCATCCCAAACGAAGCCTTAGATGCAATTTGTATACCAATTCTGGAACTGCAAAGTTAATTTTATCCATTTTTTTCTGACAAAAACTATCACATATTGCAGCAGTGAGGCCTTCCTGCTTGAAGCTTGCTCCACATGCACATCATTTGTCGAGGAGATTGGTAGTGAGCAGTGAAGTAGCCATCGATGCACCCAAATTGGCAAAACTTGTCACTGTGAACATACTCGACTGGCCTCGAGCTGTTGAACTGCTCGACCCACATGCCCATGCTCACATCCTCCATCTTGAACAGCTGCATATTTTATCTTGTGAGCCAAGCTAACTCGGATTGTTAAACAATAAGGGGCAACTTTATCGGTAAAACATGAAAATCTTATGTATTTATAGAAAGTGGAAGTCAACAACAAAACTAACAACTTTCAAGGTTTCATTTGGGAATGCTTTCTTACTATTTTTTAAAGCGACTTTTTAATTTATTTGTATTAGAAAGCCGCTAGAAGAAGCAGGAAGAAAGTTTTCTCAAATGAAACCTCATTCTCAATAATCTATTAAATGCTTAAAAATTTAATCTTATCAGTGAGGGAGTACGTGCCCTTATTAAAATTTTGAAGTCTTCATATAATAACTATATATTAATAAGTCGCAACTGTTTCATATTTCTATAATAAAATTAGTTTAGACAGATTAATGGCTCAGCCATGAAAAACATTTCTATACTTTATTTTAAAAAATTTAGTGCAGTGTGCAAATAAGGAAGGTTTAAGTGATATATCCAATTGCTGACTTAAACGGAACCTTTTTAAAGTTTTGATAATACTTTTCTTCCAAGTGGTCGCATGCATGAAAAATTCAGTCACTAGGAAGAATAAAGAACCATGTAGTGGTCATGGTGGTCCAACCTCACAAATGAAAAAACAAAACTAGGTCTTCTAGCTTTTATTGCAGGCACATGCAAGAAAGTAATCTGAAAATTGGAAGTTTATCTCAAGTAATTTTCCAAACTATAATGATTGGTATTTCGAATGAATATAAAGCTTACCCTTAATTTATGTTTCTCAAATTCTGATACGATGAAATTAGCTATGTCTGAAGATACCACATAGCCAGGACCGTTTGCGTAAGGAGGATAATCTTCTTCTGGCCATTCCTGCAAAGTGGAACTAACAAACATAAGCATCTGATGATCTGAAAATGATTGCGTATAAGGTTGCATTAGGATTGGCAGAATAAGGTAATTCTTCATCGTTGTAACAAAAAACATACAAAAATATAGAGGAATTTATTCTCAAACCAGCAAAAACAACCTAGAACTGTCAAATTATGAAAACTACAAGATGATCTCAAGGACAACCAATGAGAATCACAATATCCCATAAGTGAAACAAAATATTCCAGGATTATTAAAAAAAAATCATGGTTTAGCTTTATGCTGTCATTTAACCGTATGTTGATAAACAAACAACAACATCATCATCATGCCTTTGTCTCACTACGTGGGGTCGGCTACATGAATCCTTCTTCGTCATTGTGTCCAGTTAAAAGTCTTTTTAGTTCTACCTCTGCCTTTTTAACATAAGTCAAATCTAATATCTCAACTTTCCTAATCGGGTCATCGGAAGAAGGCATCCGTTTAATGTGAGCAAACCATCTAAGGAGACTCTCTTAATCTTATCTTCCAATGGAGCTACTCCAAGCTTATCGCGTATATGCTCATTTCATATCCTATCTCTAAGGGTAAAGCCACTCATCCATCTAAGCATCTTCATCTCTGCAACACTTAACTTAGTATTATTCTTCTCTTTTAATGGCCAACATTTGGCACCATAAAGCATTGCAGGTCTCAATCAAAAAATGAGAAACAAATCCTATATGATTTAGCATCAAAATCCTTATCAACTGAATTGGTACCGAAGCACCCATAGAACAAAAATGCAACTTTACATATTGCTAATATTTCCTTCTTTTTTTGCGTTAAAGCATTCCATAAAATTCTTCGTACTATTCTAAACTTAAAGATCCCACCTTAAGTTAATAAAGCAAATTCAACCAAAAAATCACCAACAGAAAAAATAAATCATAATTTTAGAGTTCCAGTTCTGATGGAGACTACCTAATAAAACAGATTAGCTGAATCTCATCTAAAAAACTCATGATTTAGTTTTATGATGTCAATCAATAGAGCAGCCATTATGTCTATATTAACACAATGCACTGCCTATTAAATAAAAAAATAAAAATATAAATATAAAAAATAAAAAAATAAAAAAGCTAAATGTTCCCCAGCTATGTGGAATTAGGCCTGCGTTTGATTTTATGCCATTCTTTTTTTAATTAGATTTGTGCCCAATTTTCAATTATAAAATATTTAAGATAGCTTTATATCCTAAATAAAAAAAATAGCAATTATAAGTTGTCAACATTAAAACAATAGTCAAATGGTACAAAAAATGAAGAATGAGTAGCTGACACATAACAATCTTATTAAATATCCACAGAAGAATGTTTACTTTAGATATGAGCCTATAACCATAAATTTGTCGCATATTATTTATGAACATTAACAGGCGGACAATCAAGATTAGGGTTATATACATGATAAATAACTTTATAATTAAGTACTCACAATTCAGTACAATCAGAGAGATTGAGCACAGTTAACTCGAATAAACCTAAAATCTATTAGGATATTAAATGGCCAATTTGTGATGAAACTCAGTGGTCATTGGACACTAACAGTATGTTAAATGAATCAAATAAAAATGTACATGAAATAGCAACTAATATAACCACGCCTAAATTCTTCAAAGATATTATTTTGATCTTCTTCTTCACTGTTTTGCTAATGCATTAATTTAAGCTTCCAAATTGAAATCAGCTCAATCTCTCTTCTGTCGTATGTTCGTCATTTCTTCAAATCATTATTAACTTATAGTGGTAGCAACATACATTATATTTTCCTAAAATTATCTTCAACAGACTAGTTCCAAGAGACTAATAAAAGATAAGTCAACTTGAATCACTTGCTTACTAGAAATTCGCCAAAAGACAAACAAGTCACTTAATGATCAATAAGTCTCAAACTCTACTTCCATAATTCGATGGCTTATTAACCAAGACAACTCATCAGAGTACTCGTCCAAGGGAACTCTCCAGCAGGACTTGAACTCCTCACTAGAATTCATGTGCAACATCCAAAACAAGTGCAGTTGACTCCTTCACCTGCTACACAGTCAACAAGTAACATTAAGACCGGAAAGATACCTGATAAACAACAAATCTCTAAGGTTTCGTTTGGGACGGCTTTCTTACTGCTTCTTAAAACAGCTTTTTAGTATAAAAATTTTAATTTTTGTACAAGAAAATTGCTTTAAGAAGCAGTAAAAAAGCCAACCCAAACGAAGCCTAAGTCAACTCTTAGAGATTCATAGCTTATCAACCAGCACAACTCGCTCAAAAGAACTCACTAGTCGTAGTTAACCGCAGTAGAACTCGCATGTAACATCCACAACATGAGGAGTCAATTCCTTCACCCACTACACAATCAACAACAAGATCCTATAGTGACTCCTTCTCAGTAATCCTACCTTCAAAAGCCCGTCCTTTTGTTTCCACCTCTATTTTGCCAATAAATATTAGTTAAAATTTCAAATTTAGGATGTTTCAGTAAAGGCTCTTTCTTGTTCTCTGAGATTTCTCTCTTTTCCTTTGATCCTACTCTATTTAACTTTGATCCCACTTGCCTTGTCAAATCTAAGGGGTTTGCTTGAGTTCCATGTAATCTTGCTATCTAAAGGAATTCTCTTAAAGCAAGCTTCTTTATTTCCCTCTCAGCTCTTCCTATGGTTCATTTTATCAAGGTCCAGGTTATCTATCACCAAAAAACTTCTATCACCAAAAAACTTTAAATCCAACTTATGCATATAAATGTAATTGTACACAGATACTTTTGTCAATGAATACATATATATATATATATATATATATATATATATACCTATGTAGATAAAAGACTATACAAGCGCATGCACGTAAAAATACAATTACACGTAAATGCTTATATGAACGCACTCAAAAAATAAAAGATGGCACCACCCATCTATGCTATGTAAACATTAAAAAAAAAAAGAAATTGCATACTTAAGCATACTTATAGATGAATAGGATCACAAGAACACATGGGAACAAAAGATGGTGAAATTCCTGAAATAAAACAGCATATAGAAATATATCACATTTGTTTATTGCCTGCATTAAAAAATATTCCTAACTTATCTAAAGTTCTACATAGTGTATCATTTACGATATCCAACCATTTGTTTGAATTTCTTGACAGTTGACACACAAGGGTGAATCTTGTATAAGACATATACACATACAGCATCAAAGTATCCAAACATCCAAGAAGCATTGGAACATATAAAATAATACTTAGAAGTATTCAGCTCCATAGTGGCTGGCAACTATAAATTCATTATCTTAAAAAATGAATGGAAGTAGAAAAATATCGAAATTCGAACAGGTAGCCAAATGTACCTCATATGTAACAGCCCATTTCCCATGCCGTAAAGGCTTGTGATAGTAGTTGATATTTCCTACATACAAGCTTTTATTAACTGGGATTTTCTTGATTTCCTTCATCACAAACTTGACTCGGACAAACGTATCATCATCACATTTCATTATGTACTTAGCCTTCACGGCGCGAAACTGTTGGACATGATAAAAAAAGAAATTTATGAACTATCTCAATATGCTTTGATAATAGCTGTAAATCAAATTAGGAGATCCAGTTACCCCATATTCACAGATTGCAACAGTTTTCAAGACCACAAGATCGTAACTATCAACATAAGGCACAATAACAATGTCACCAAAGTATTCTAATTCTTTTTTCAGCTCCAAATTCACATCCTTCCTTCCATGCTGAGAGAACAAGGTTCAAGCAATTAGCAACCTGGAAAGAAAATGGTATAACTAAGGCTTTGTTTGGGACGGCTTCCTTTCTACTTCTTAAAGCAGCTTTTGTACTAGAAAGCTGCTTTAAGAAGTAGAAAGAAATCCGTCCCAAATAAATCCTAAATATAAAATGATGAACTAATAATTTACCAGCGCAACAAAAAACCGAGCGACAATATTTGGTGATTTCCTCACTGATTCCATCCATGACTTCCTCACAGCCATGCGCTCTGCAAAATGATTGCCAGCAGAAAGTATGCCAATAAACAGTTCAACTGGCCCATCGGGCAGTGGCAGGGCCTGCCACTCGGGCAGCAATTCCAGGCTCCTCTGTGGGGAAAAACTAGGGTGTGACGAGGGTAATGATGCTGCAAATATGGACTGGACATCCAGATCTCCATTAACTGACAATCCAGTCGCATCCTCAAGCACAAAACTCTGAACAAATTAACAAAAAAGAAACATAAAATAAACTCATGAATTGCAACGTTTTCAACAAAGAATAATCAAATGATGAAACTTTTTATGAAAGCTACTTACAGTGCGATAAGGGAAAGAGGTCACGTGCCTCCCATCGACATTGACATGGTAACCTTCGAGACCAGCACTAAGAGTGAGTACAAAGAGCTTGTCTTCTACGAAGGGATATGGCCACTCGATAGAGACCTTTTTCTTCCTACCTATCAACCGATTCAACCACCAAGTCGTCTTTGACTCCTCAGAATGGTTGTGATCATCCCGGATCCATTTTTCACATTTCACCAGCCCATCAACTGTCAAGGAAATCAGAAACCTGTCAAATCCCCTTCTTTGAACCTCCCAATCAACAAGTCACAAAGTTCATCAAAAACTCGGTAATTGTCCGCCAAAAGGAAAGTGGCTTTGATTTTATGTTTTCTTCAAGGGGAAGAAAAAATAAACTATTGTAAACAGTATAAGTTCGTTTGAAGCCTGTCAAGAAAGCTTTTTTTGCCGAAATTTCAGTAGAAGGTGAATTTTTTTCCTGATACTTGACTAAAACTTCCCCTTAGAACATATAATTGGGGAAAAGGAAAGAAAAACGACCGTAAACCCACCCAAATTAAAAAAGAAAAAAAATCAAAGCTTTTAAACACTCACCAGTCTCCTCATCGGCTCTCGACTTCCACCCTTCACATCTTTGCGCAGTTCCCCACTGCATGCGATAGCAAGTATTCTGCTCGATCACGGGCCTCCCGCTCCAATCCCCTTTCAACCTCGGATTAAAGTGAAGAATTCTCGGCGGATCCTCCCCATCCACCGTCTTCAACCCCTGCAACTCCATCATGAACTGCGATACCATCACAGCTTCATCCCCGTCCTTCAATATCGAAATCTTCGGGTCATGCTCCGCATGCGCACGGTACGGCTTCGCCACCAGGGTAATATGCGATCCCAGCGTGAGCCCGCATGGCAGAATCATCACTCTTCCGCCCTTCATAAAATCCTTCCCATTAATCATAATCGAATGCAGACACTTCTCGTCCGTCCGGTTCTCATCCGACGGAGCCGAAGCCATTCTAGACCTCAACTCCTCAAATAGCTTCCGACCGACCTCCCAAGCATCCCTAGCCGATTTATGCAGCTCGGAGAAGTTACCATCGACGAGCTGTGGAGGCGGATTGAATATAAGACCGGAGACTACTGAAGAAGAGCGGCGTCGGTGGGAAATATCAGGATGATGCCGGGGAGCAGCGGATTGAGAAAGGCGGAGCGATTCCTTGAAGGGACGAACAGGAGCGTAGTTCAAGTCGGTTTCCTCCTCCGTGGCAAGTACCGCGGCGGTGGCAGCACCGCCGGAGGGAGGGTAGATACGTCGAGAGACGAATGGGAACTCGTAAAAGATGAAGAAGGCATAGAAGAAAGCAATCAAGAGAAGGATCTGGAGCGAGCGTTGCCGAGCAATGGATATTGCAAGTTCAAACTTTGATCGACGCATCTTCCTCCCCCGAGTCGATTTCGAACCCTAGGTGGATTCGATCGGGGGACGGGGAGGAGATGAAGTAAGGCTTAAGGACGAGAGAAGAAGGACCTGCTCAATCTCCTGATGCTAACCCTAGATTTATTGGTGCGGGTCGTGGGGTAAGAGAGGCGGAGCCGGAGAGGAAAAGCGGCAATGGGGGGAAGAAGAAGCACCGAAGGAGAATACAGTTTTTGTTAAATAATTAATAGATATTAATTAATTCGTTCGTACTAATAAATAAATATTTTCAAAGTTCAAACCATTCTTACCGCATATTTCGTTATTTTTCCTTTTTTTTTCTTTTTAATAAAAAAAGCCTTAAATAATTATTTAGCACCCTAATACATAAAAATTTACTCACAACGAATGAGAATGAGTGGAGAGGCAATCAATTCAAATAACTGAAAATAAATATAAAAAATTTATAATATTATAATTTTTGAAATTTGATTCTCATATAATTTTTTATATTAGTATACTATTGATTTTAAAAATTTAATAAAATATTGTATGCAAAAAATATATACATTTGTGAAAAAAATTGCATATGAATTTTTCTAAAAAAGTATATTTTTTTAAAAAAAATATGGCTTCGGACTCACACATCCGACATATACGTAGGACTCGAACTCAAAACCTCTTAATTGATACCTAAAATATCCAATCAATAAGTCAAAAAGAGCTGAGTGAAAATTATAAATTGACTCCTAAAAATACTACTACGACAACTAGTGTAAGTGCCTATGAAAAATTATTACGTGCAGTGTCTAGACTCGTCTGGAGGCCAAATCGGATGCGCTACGTCACATAATAAACAGTGCATTGGGTGACATAGAGCATTCGAATTGACATTCGGATCTATCCGTACTCTGCACGTAATAATCTCTCGATGCCTGGGCATCTAACTCAAGTTAGTTAGCAGCCATTGGTTTTGTTGCTTCAATTAGGCTAAAGTTATGAAAATTATGAAACTAGCAAAGGAAGCTTAACATTTATGTCTAAGGCTTCGGCTTCATTTGGATAGTTTTTCATCACTATATTTTGTTATTTTTAATTGTACTAAAATATTGTTTTAAAAATTAATAAGAAAGTTTCAGGTTTCATTTTGGACAGTTTCTTAAAGATATTAGAATTAGATGATTTTGAGCTTATTGAATTTATCTCATTGAGATGTTTGAAGTGACTCTAAGCATACATGATTGGGAGATCATTTGATCCTTCAATTTGTATGTCGAAAATCTCATCTACAATTTGAACTTCGATCAGGTGCCTTTTCCTACCATTGAGTTAGTTCGATGATAAATTTATTGAAAACAAAATTTGGATGGTCCTGAATTTATTTTTGAAAGTTCTAAATTGAGATTCATATATAATCAAATTGATCTTTAATGTTGTATCAATTATATTATTACACAAATTTTAATTGATTGGATATGTAAATCAATTTTAATAGGAATGACCTTTCTTTATTAGGTTTACATGAGAATTTGACTTTTAATAGAACACAATGGAGAAAAAGGATTCATGTAGCCGACCCCACGTAGTGGGATAAAGGCTTGATGTTGTTGTTGTTGGATATGTAAATCAATTCTATGTCAAATTAATTTAATTCAGAATTTATACATTTAGGCTTCGTTTTGTGATGACTTTCTTACTGTTTTTTAATACAATTTTTTTCAATAAAAATTTAATTTTTTGTATCGAAAAGTTGTTTCAATAAGCAATAAGAAAGACGTCTCAAATAAAGCCTTAGGTTTTGTTTGGGACAGCTTTTTTATTGCTTCTCAAAACAACTTTTTAATACAAAAAATTTCTTTTTTGTACTAGAAAACTGTTTTAAGAAGAAGTAAAAAAACTGTCTCAAACAAAACCTTAGTTCATAATATATTTACAATCTATTTCTCATTATAAGTAATATTTTAAGAATCAAAATAGTGTGGACTTTCATGATCTCAACCTAAATATCAGCCTTACTTTTATTTTTTTAATAATTTAAAATTAAATTTTCAGAGTCATTAATTATTGGGCTCACAATGCTTAATTGTGACATCCTTTTTGTCTCACTATCTTTCAGTTAATAAATAGTGCATTAATTGGTACATATTATATGGCTGAAGCGTTGAATTTGAATCTTAAAAACTCCAATAAATAAAAGAATTGATTTTTCTAATTGTGGTTTTAATGTTCAGTTTCCTTAAAGTTTCAGTTTAATTTCAAATTAAAACGATTAAATATTTACTAAAAAAATTTATTTCAAAAATTATGATCAAAATTAAAAGATTTTAATTAATTATTTTAGAGCATTCCATAAATTTTTTATTGCTATGACAATCAGAGTTATATTTAATAATTTAATTGTATTGAAGTATGATATATGATATATGATATATTATTCTTTATAATATGTAATAAATCAATCTCATTTTAATGTAAAACATATTTAGATATTATAATAAAACATTTAGCATAAATCTTCACATAATAAACTTCCCTAATGAGCTTCGTTCATGAATCATTTTCGTTCTGATGCCGATGAGTGGCCTCGCTAAGTTCGTTGAGGGATTAATTACGCCGCCAAGTGCTTCATTTGGAGTGACAGCGGATAGATACCCCGTTCCAAATAATAATAATAATAATAATAAGTTATCTATCATTTATGATAATTCACTCTTTAAATTAATATTATTTTCTTATGAATTTATAAGGAGCATATTTTGAAAATATAGCTAATACAACTAATTAGAAATTAAATTTTGAAAAAAAAGTGTTGCACTCCCTTTCAGTCCTTAGCACTTAACTTCTCACAACAAAATTTAGGCCTTATTATTAATTGATTTAGAAATTTGATTCCACAGCCTCCAAAAATGCTTTGACATATGTGAATAAATGGTAATTTAGTTATAGGCATTAATGAGAATTTGAGTGGATTTCCATAAGAGAACTAATGGCTACAAAGTCCTTTTAAATCAGCTCAACCCCCTCTAATTCTCAATTAGTTCTTTGACTTTAGTTGCTAAATTGGTTGGGTATTAATAAAAGATATTAAGAAATATTTTTTTTAGGAATGGGATATCTACCCCCTATTATTCAGTAGAGGAGGTGCTTGACGGACTAACTAATCTCTCAGCGGGCATAGCAGCAACCAACCCCACAGGCCAGTGTCGGACCACGCACTCATTTTCTCCCCACTTAAAGAATCGTGCTGCTTAAGAGAGAAATCGAATGTGGGATGAGGGATTCCCAACCACGCTTGTCCATTTGGTTTTATTAATATCAAATTTGTATGATTGAATGTGACATGTTATTGCAAGCTTAATTTAATTCCACTTAATTTTGATTTTATTTCCACTTTTATATGTGAAAATGAATATATATATATATATATATATCACTACAGGAAATTCACTAAATATCGGCGGTTTTAGTAGTATAACCGACGGTTTTCAAAAACACCGGCAGCTTATCGGCGGCTTGCGGTAAAAATGGACTCAAATTTTTTTAGGAGATCTATAATATTATTTCAATTATATTAATCAAACGAAGACATTTTACATTCTCACACGGGATAGAGAGAGAGAGAGAGAGAGAGAGAGAGAGAGAGAGAGAGATCATTAATTCATATAGCCCTCCTATTTTAAAGAGAGGGACTAAAGTACTTGCATCGCTCAACATCTTTGTATCATTCAGACCTTCCTTCTAAGAGAAAGATCATTGCATATCATCAAACTACTCAACTTCGTTTTATTTAATCACCAGAATTTCATAATAGATCAAGATGGCCTGATTGCCTGAATCATCCCTAACTATTTGTTAAATTTGGATCGTTTACACTCTTATTTTAAAATAGGTATTATCTCAATCGTCATTATGGCTTTGTATCATTCAATCTCTTTTCAGAACAGAGGGTGCCCTAACTTTCTTAGTTATCACTAAAAATCTTCCTACAATCTCCACTATCATCTGTGGGTTGAGTCATCTCTACATCAAGAAAGATGAATATCCTGACAACTTTTACATTTCCACATTCACTGTATTTAACGATCTTACATTCTTACTGTAAGACTTTGTTCATCATTTGATATACATGATAAAAATATATACTTATAATTAAGATGGGTAAAATAATAAATTAAATGAAATTTAAAATAGGTACCGTAGATAATTTAATTTATTATTATTATCATAATATAAGAAATACATACAAAGTTATTAATTAAAAAATAATTGTAAGCATAAGGTTAAAACTCTTATACAAATTAATATTTTATTTGGAAGGGTTTTTTTATTGCATTATAAAACATATTTTTAATATAAAATTTTTAAAGAAAAAAATACTTTAAAAAAAAGAGTAAAAAATAGTATACCTAATTTTTTAATTTTTAAATATCAAATATATTTTTGTAAGATTTGAGATATCTTATTTTACTTATAATAGCCTGTATACAGATAGGATAACGATAAGAAACAAATTCAAAAGTACGAAGTCACTTCAGCTCTCTTTCTCGGCGCCAACCTCACTTTTAAACCTTTAAAAATCTTTAAGATTCGCGTTTCATATATTATTAATCCGCTTCCATGTTCTACAGATATCTTAAAGCGGATCCAAGCGAAAATAACGAAAGGTATTTTCTTCAGTAAATCACTTGTCCATAAGATTTCTCGTAGAATATAAAATGTGAAGAAAGGGAAGAGCGGCAAATCTTAAATATTGCAGGGTGAAACAATGAGAAAAATATCAAGACTTAACCCTCGAACCCACCTCATGCCACCTAGGACAAGCGTGGCACTGTGTGAGTGACAGCTGTCACACCAATCTGCCACGTGGAAAGAGCGATAGGAAGTCATGAGGCCTCAGCATTCTTGGAATCACAAGTTGGTGATTTGCTCGTATCTACTTCTGAAATTTTATTTTTTAAATTAATTTAATATTCTAGTCAATCATTAAACTCAAAGTACTTATATTAGTTTAAAAGTAATTATACTAATAAAATGTCTTAAGAAAATTCACTTTTGTAACCTCAGATAGGCCAAACATCCCTTACGGATCTCCTTTTACCTCTTCCACACAAGTTAATATTATAGAACAATGTTCTGACAAACAACCTCGGATAGATCAAACATCCTTGGTGGATTCCCTAGACTTCTTCCACATAAGTTAACGCTCTTAAGACATATTTTCGCAAACAACCTCAGATA